ACCTCCAGAGGACCCTTCCAACCCTAATTTTCTATGATTTTATGGGCCTTTATACACACAACAAAATTGGCCTTTAAAATGGCTTAATTAACCATTTGCATCACTTTAATGGAATTGCTATTTACATGCTCCGCAGCGTATTCTGCTTTAATAGCATTGCTATTTACACGCTCAGCAGAGTATTCCACTTTAAATGACTTTGTAACATAGCATGGTAAAACCCATCTGAGATATTTTAGTTTCCTACCTAACAAAATGCAATGGTGCACGGGGTACTGGAAGCCAACGTACTCAGGGAATCTCAGGCTTGGCAGGGTTTCAGCACCTGGTGCACCATCCCCACCACCTTCTTCTCCCGCCACCACACCCAGCTACCTTCCTGCTACTTTGCCACTCTACCCCAAGGGTAAGACAGCCATTCCCAGGTAGTCCCAGGCAGTGGGAATGCGGTGGGGACAGTGCATGGGGTGCTGGACCTTACCTGCCTCTCCCGCGGCAGGAAGGGCAAGCTGCAGGTGGGATGAGTGGTCTCTGAGCTGCAGGGGACCCCAGTGCTTCCCTTTGTGGTGGTGGTGTGCCCCAGGCAGCACCCACCCACTGGCACCCAGCCTGGGTGGTCCTGGGGGGCACCACCACTGCAGAGGGAAGCACCAGGCCCCAAGCAGCTCAGGCAGAGAAAAAGAGAGAGAGATCAAAGTCCTTGCCGTTTCCCCACCTCAGTCAAGCCTTCCTGCATGAGCTGCCGCCAGCTTGCACAGCCCCTGAGGATTGGGTCTCTCACCCTTGTACTCGCAATGGGGGTTTAGTTCTCTCTAAATTGAAACAGTGGGTTTTTAAATCCTCCATTTCAATTTAGGGAGAACTAAACCCCTGTCAAGTGTTCAAGCACCCTATGATTCTAAGACCCTTTTAGTTACTGGGCTCAAGTCCCTGCTACTACAGCTAATTATGTTATAAATCCCTTTTATAAACCTATCAAGCCTCATTTAAAACACAAATTTGGTTTCTTGCCTTCACTTTACAAAAAGGTTCAAATCCTCACTCCTTTGATGGTTAGAAACCTTCTTCAAAGTTACAGCCTAAATTTTTGGTGATCAAAATTGGCCATGAGCTTAAAAGGCTCTTTTCCTTCCCTAATGTTGAACTCCTACTGTTCAGCTTGAAAGAAAGATAATGCCCCCGCTCAGGCCTCATTTTACTATCCTAAACAAGCCCAACTCTTCCAGCCTCCCGTCAGAAGGTAGGAAATTAATTTCCCTGATCACTCCAGATTTCATTCTTCTTGAACAGGGGTGACCACAAATGTATACAGTATTCCACATGGTATCACTAGTTCCTTACCCAAAAGCATCACTTTCTAATATCTCTGTATCAGTACATCTTGCCTGATGCATTATATACTCACATGGAATCGTAGAAAAGTAGGATTGGGAGGACCTCAAGAGGTCATCTAGTCCAACTCCCTACTCAAGCCAGGAATATCAGTATCTACACAAGTGCTTGTCTAACCTACTCCTAAAACTACAGAATCAATCCTGGTACATGATTACAAGGCACGTTGCCCAAAAAACACCAAGGGAACCCTATCTGCTGCAAGTGTTGTTCAAATGCACTTGAGAGATCCAAAAAAGAGGGCCATGCCCCCACTACAGAGGAAAGCAAAAATAACCACAGTCTGACCACAATTTAAAATTCCTTCCTGTTCCCAAATGTGATGAGCAGTGTGACCCTGAGTAGAGGGACAAGACCCTCTTACATAGGAACCTTTATGTTTTAATCCCGGCGGAAGCACTGGCATACCCCAGTCAAAATCCCTAGCCTTGGCTGCAGCCATCACCCAATGCTTCCAAGGAAGGCAAAAAAACCCAACAAACCCTGACACCCATAGCAACAGGCAAGGAAAAAATTCCTACCCAGCCCCATGTGGCAATCAGCAAAGCCCATAAGTATGGGGAAAAACCAAACACCCTCCACTCAGCTCTGCAACCTGGAGATAAAAAGCATGACTCCACACATCACACCCTCTAACTGGAAAGCCAGACCTCCACTTTGTCTCCCCTTCCTAACCTTCTCTCAGCTGCTTTAATCTGAAGTTAACTAAACCAGCTGTGGAGCTCTGTTTCATTCTGCTACTGCTGAGCACGGTCCTCTCCAATATTAACCTGCTCTGGGCTGCAGAGCTCTTCTCATTATCTCCCAGTAATCTGTGTGTGAGTAGGGGTGGGGGATTCTCAGTTTCCAGCTATTGGTCTTCACAGAGCACTCCAGGCACAGCTACTCCTAGATCATCACTTACCACTGCCTATCCAATGTCTTCTTGAAAAAAACCCATGTTGGAGATTCTACAACTTCCCTAGGCAGTTTATTCCACTACCTCAATATTTTAACAGTGAAGAAGTTTTTTTCCTAATATCCAATCTAAACCTATTTTCTACAACTTCAAGCCATTGGTACGTGTCCTGCTCTCTGCAGCAATGAAAAAAAGGTAGTCTCTCTCTTCTTTATGTCAGCCTTTCAGATATCTGAAGACTGTGATCATGTCCCCTCTTAATCACATTTTGTGGAAGCTGAACTTTCTTACGTCTTTCAAGCTTCGCCTCACATAGCTTGCCTTCCAAGCCCTTCACCACTTTTCTCTCCCAGCTCAGGACCCTCTCTAATTTCCCAAGTCCTTTTTAAAATACAAACCCCAAAGCTGCACACAATTTAGCCTCATCTTCTGCTCAGCACTAGCAGTAGATGAGGCTAATCACTATTACTTCCTAGGCATCTGCCTTTTCCCAAAATGTCACCATGCTGCTGACTCATAATCATCCTGTGATCAGTTCACCCAGATCTTTCTTTTGATTCCAATGTTTCCAGGTAGCAAGTCTCCAGCTTACGGCAGAATATCTTAAAGTTAATCCCCAAGTCCATTACCTAGTACTTTCTACTACTGAATTTCAACCATTTCACTCCGTCCCCAACACTCCAGTCCTCAACATCACCCATCTCCTTCCATATAATATTTGAGTCCTCACCCATATTGACCATGTGTCACAACTTGAAACTGTTAGCAAATTACATTAGCACAATTCAGCTTTACACGCCGAGTGCATTAATGAAAACAGCAGGTAAGATTGGTTCCAAGTGTGACAAGTGAGGAACTCCACTTGTAAACCCCTCCAGGTCAACAACATTCCCTTCTATACAACCAGGCATAATTTTCCCTTTATTTAGCTGCTGTCTCACCTAACAGTTCTTATATTAAATTGTAACATTCATCTTTTCCCCCTTAATTAATCCTTAAGCTTTGTGCAGCATTGAGGTCAAACTGCCTGGTCTGCAGTAACGCTGATCCATTTCTTCTCCCCTATCTTCAGCAGAGACACCATGTTGGACTCTTCTAAGTGGAAGCAAAACTGAAATGTGGCAATTAACATGTTCAGATGCTCATTCCGATTACCCATTTTGCCTTTGCTTCCCACATATTCAACATGATCAGCCACACTGGACACAAGACGAAGTATTAACTCAGGTTTTCAGCCATACCTCAGCATTCACCTTTCACCTCTACAACAGCCTCATTGCACAACAGGCCTATTTCTTCCCTACTTGTTGTCTTTTTTAAAAACAGTAGCTAATGAGCCTTTTACTGACCTGTGTAGAACAATCTTGCATTGGCAAGCATGGTGGCATCAAGTGGAGCTTCCTGTGGCCAAGTTTTAAAAGAATCCAGTCAAGCTCCTTCATCCTCAAAGATGTTGGGAATGGGACCACCTTTGCAATCCAAGACACTTGATTATTTGAAAAAGCTCCCATACTATTAACACCCATAACATATGGGTAAAATCAGACTCCAAGTGCACCCACTGAGCTCCCAGAAAAACAGCTATACAAAAATATTACTTAGAATTCTAGATTAACTATTAAAATCCTCACTTATGCCAAAGAGGAATAATCACTTTGGCCATCTGCTGGCCCCAGCTGCCTTACCTAGGGTCGTGGGGGCCAAGGAAGCTGTAACCATAACACTTCTGCAGCTTGGAGCCTGGCTGGCAGCCAAAGCGTGGCTCCAGTGGGCCAAGCTCATTTTGGGCAGCACGCACGGCACCCACATGTACCGCCTCTTTTTTTCCCCCATGCAGGATTTTTTGACCCCAGGATCTCCCAAGGTCAAAAAAACCCTTGCGCCATAAGGTACCAGCATGGGAAATGCCTGAATGTGCGGTGTGTGATGCCACAGATGGGTTATATTGTATGGACATGGCTAATGGTTCCTTTTAAAGTTCCCAGTTGCATTTCCTCTCTTGATCTCTCTTTGAGAGGCACATGGGAGTCAGAGAGAGTATGACTTATGCACAAGTAACTAGAAACTTTCATATTTACAGTCTTTTCTCTAGAAAACAATAAAAGCTGCCCCTGGTTTATTTTCAAAACTGATCAACAAGGAAACTAGAAAAAAAGTGTTTAGGATTACAGTAGAATTCATTCTCAATCAGTACCTGTTTCTGTAGGTAATATCCTCTTTATCAAAGGAGTTGTGAAATGTTTTCCCTAAGCAGAATGAAAATTCAAAGTCAACATTTTCTTCTCTTAAATTATATCTCAAGTTTATGTGGTACGTTAGTGAAACAAAAGAAGTAACCACACAACAGGGCTAGGACTAGTAGCACCTCCAGATATCAACTGATTAAATATACTTTCAATTTTGAAGAAAGCTGAAAAGACACTTGAAAAGAACCACCACCTGGGTACAGCTAGAGATGGGAAACTCCCTACAAGAAGTAGGACAGACAGGAGTAGATCTTAGAGATGTAATAGAACTCATCTTGGGAATCTAAAATTCTGTGGGTGACCCATACCACATTCCAGATTTTCTGGTTTAATCAATAAAAAACAAGTACCACTACCCTTGAGCTCCCTCTCTCAGATACTTCTACCCATAGCTGTATCAGTCTCATTTTGCAATGTCCAGGGGGTGTGGATCTTGAGTTCAAGTTTCCTCAGATAGCAACAGGACTCTGACACTAGGGTCCTGCAGAACCTGAACATGTGGCTCAGCTGTTTACCCAGCAGAATTTCTTTTACTGCCTCATGTTAACCACACTAATCAAATTTTGGCAAGTTCAGTATCAAGTTCTATGATAAAAAGAGAGAAAAAATATAGCCATTAATGATTTACCATCACTTTTACAAATCCACCATAGTTTTGAATGTACTCTTGAATTTCATCGCTGGATTTCTTATGATGAAGGAATTCACACCTATAAAACAAAGGAAATTAAATGTCTCAGTGCTGTGGCCTGCTTTTGGGGGAGGGTCTTTTATTTTTGTTATGATTTCAGATACCATAAGCTATTTAAACTTTTTTTCATTTCAGACACAGACAATAAGTGGACATGACATGTATGGGTGCCATCAATATTATTTACACAACCAACTAATTATTAAGGGGAACTATTTACCACTGTTAGCTCATAGCTTAACCTCTGGAATAGTCCTAGAAATAATGTGCAAGGAAGAAGGACACAAGTTACATAGAGAACAAATGTGTGTTCCATTTTAGAGGTCATCTCACCCCCACATTGGAAAAATGACAGTAGGAAGCTTTTTTGTTTTAGGGGAAAAAATGTTGATATTGATCACTTAGCAACCCTGAAAGCCTAAATTAGTCCTCTTTCAGCAGTATGTCAAAAGTGAATGCAGGTCAGCCTTCACTGTGCAAGGAGAAATTTCTCAAGGATGATCAGTCACTTACTCAGGAAACCATTTGGCATGTTCTTTCCAAGGATCATCACCTTCTTCCCAGTTCCCCAAACATCCCCCACAGGCAAAGAACCAAACTTTATCTTTTTCACCTGCATGTAGAGAATCATGTGTCAAAGATGATCCCAGACTCTGTGGGGTCTTTTGCCCACACAGCAGCTGTGCAAACACAATTATCACAGTGAACACCAGCTCAATAATTTGGATCTTTTTAATTGGAACTTTCTAGCTTACATTGTAATGAGTGAAATGACAGGGAACTCCTATGCAAACTTGATTAGATGTTGTGTGATTCTGAATTAGGCAAGTTTAGGGGGAGTCTGACTTAATGAAGCACAAGGCTGAAAAGGAAACTATCAGATGAGGTACTTCTGACGCATCCAAACCTTGAAACTTTATTCTTTTTTAAAGACATTCTACAGTCTTGGTAGGATAACATTGTTTACCATTTTATTGCTTCTCCCAAATCACTAAGTTTACTTTCAATATGTTGATTCATAAGTAGACCTATTCTGCAGTGATATATCAATTGAGAATTCAAAAAGTACAAAAGCTTCTTCAGATAGTACTTAAATTCATGGGGTGAAACCAGAGCTGGACTGGCAAGTATTATCACAGCTTGGGAGTACCTTCTAACAGTCAAGTATCCTGATCCTACCAGCACACCAAACACCATCAAGTGAATGGTGCTGTGTATTGGGACTGCAGAGGGGGCTTCTGCAGTGGATAATTGTTAGGCAGGAGAATAGCTGTCCAGGGGAGCTGTGGGCAGACATGTCCTGCTGGCAATTATATCTCTCTGATTTATCTTCGGAGAAACTGCCACAATATGAAAGTTGTGCTGTAGGGGAAATTAACATTTAGAAAAACCTGGATTTGTTACTGTGGTACTCAGCCTTGTAGAGCAGATATGCCTTGCAAATTCAGATACATCATTTAATAAATCAAACCAGAAACTCTTCAAAGCACTATTTCCATTAAAGAAAAATCCAGCACTAGATAGCATAGCTGGCTGGGTTCCTCTGGCATAGAATGGCCAGGCTTCAAAAGACTGAAGTCTAGCCTCCTCCTCTTTGTACCTGTCTGTAGGCTCTGCCGGACTGTCTTCTACATTCTGAACACGTATGTCATACCGCAGAATGTTACCCACCTCTTTCCCTTGGACAAAGTCACACCGAGGTTGAAATTTTTTATGCCCTGAATCTGGGGACAATCTGGCTGATGTTGCACATAAAACCAGCCCACAGCAGTAACACTGTATACCAGACTTAACCCCTGTGTAATAAAACCCAGCAGTAGCCATCTCTGTGGGAGCCCATGATGAACCAGAGTCATAGGAGAAGAACGTTTTTAACCTCTTGCATTCATTTCTCATGCTGGGGTTATAACCCCTTTGCAACTGCTCGCGAATCTCCTGGTATTCTTTCTCCATTTTTTCTGATAGCTTGTGCCAATCAAAATTTAGATGAGGGAAGCAAGCCTGTATATAAGATGGATTCAGCTCAGAAATTTGACTGTTGCTCATGTCCTCTGCAGGAGGGTCTAGGGCAGACATCATCTGTAAAAGAAAAATAATATATTTTGTCTCCCCAAACACACCATTGTTTAAAAGTCTTGTAATACAACTTCCCTGTTACCTCGGGCAGAAAAAAAAAAAATACCTGGCTACCACTGGAACCAGGCAACAAACTGATAGTTCCTCAGCTACAGTACTGCAGTGTTACCAGCACTGCTCGACTAAGTGCTTCAAGCGAGCTAGATACCGTACATGTTCATAGACCCCTAAGTGACATTACATATCATGTGGTTAACAAGTTAAATGGCAATATGTAAGAACCTATGTAGGTGCTTCTAAGAGACGGTTGCCCACCCATTTCACAGGCAGACCATGGGGCCCAGCACTATTTTTGTGGGCTGAGCACAGCGTGGCCCCCCCCACTTTGAGTGGCCAAGGGGCCCCAGAATTCCCTCCCCTCCCCACAGATTGCCAGATGGCCCCAAACTGGGGCTTGCTTATTAACACATCAGTTAATAGCTTCTGTAGGCTTAATCCCCTGATTAAGACCATGGATGCCGTTAATTGATGTGTTATTAAGCTAAGCCATGGTTAAGGACTTCCACGGATTTGATCAAGCCCAGTCTCCCCCCTGCCCCATCTCCAGACTCAGTCCTACTGAAACACACTCTACAGAGTTGCCAAACACAAGCCAGTCTCTCCTGAGTACTCAAACTGAAAACTACAAATATTTTTTTCAAAGGTTTCCATCTTGACCAGAACTGGCAGATTTTCACAGAGTAAAGGTAATCCCCAATCAAATTCAAGCCTTTCTTCCAAAGCATGGAGGCACCATAGGATCTTTTTTTTTCTTAAATAGGGCCAAAACTTTTTTCCAAATCTGATTATTGGAAATGGCTAAACTGTATTTCCTGATTTTTTAAATACTCAGACTGAGGTGGACAGTTGAACTGAAAATGTGCAATTCAAATAGTAGAGTTTAGCAATGAAGACGACTACAGGGAGCACGCCCAGCTCCTTTTACTATAATGCTAAACAACCCACAGTGTTTGCTCTTTTGAACTACTTCCTAATTATTTGAACTGTGGTTTCAAAAAGACTCAACAATACTTATTTCACTATTCAAGGTCTTCTAAGAGACCTACAGCCAATATTCTTCACTTAAAATTTAGCTTAGAATTAGGGATTAGCTTTTTTAAAAGTGTAAATGCTCCTACAGTATTTACAGCCATACCACTAATTCACATTTTTTTTTAATTTCCCTATAATATCATCAATTGAGTGTTAGATTGCAGCTAAAGTCTCTAACCCTCGCCAAACTCCACTGTTCTTACTGTCTGATGTGTCCACACTTAGCTTGGAACCTTCTAGTCTTCCAAAAGAAGAATGTTTTTAGGAATGCTTATAAAAACATAGGTAAGCAAGTCATTTTAGTCACCTACATAAAAGGCATCTGATTTAATTCATGACCCTTGGGCCTAACAATCTCATCTTACTGCATATGGAGCATCCCAGCACATGCCTGAACTGGCCAAAGCAATATACTGTAGGTTGCAGCATATGACATGAACTAGAATGAGGGACACAAAAGTGTATTCAAAGAGGAAACTTACAGAATTGTTCAGTTCATTCCTTCAGCACAAATTACATTGACTACGACCGCAGTCTCAGAGTTCTTTACTTCTGATGGAAATAACATTAAAAATGCCAAATTTGAAACAAAGACAGCTTTGAAATTAAATAAGAAACAGCCGAGAGATAAGTACCTCAGCACTTCTGCAGGATGAGTGTCCCAGATTAAAGAACCCATGGGTTAACACCAAATTGGAAAACACTGGGAAGAGATGCTGAATAAAACAAAGGAAACAAAACATATATTAGCCTTTCCATACAAATTATTTTAATAGCTGTCTTCCTTCCTTCCAGGTGCTTGGTAAGAACCCAGGGATCTCCTTCTTCACAGAATCATCACAATGAATTTACTCAAGAAATCTTATCAAGTCTTCCAATCAAAATAAAAAAAAAACCAATTTGTTCATAGGAAAATCAAACCAAACAACAGCAATTCCTCCCTGAGACACACAAATTTTGCAACCTGAGCAAAATATGTATTTACCAGTATAAGCAATGAGCAAGCCAGAGGGAAAAAAATGGCAAAGATCAAAAATAGGAGGCTGTCTGGAAAATCAGCTGCTAGAAGATAAATCTTGGTGAGTTTTCCTTATTTCTCTCCAATGGCTACTGGACATAAAAAACCAACTGGTTTCAGAGAGCACATCATGACATTTACTTTTTTCCCTCACCTATAACTTCCTGAATCAATACTCTTGTAGAAGTAATTAGCTTACTTGACTAGAAAAACAGACAAAGACCAGATGTACTGATACTGCTCTGAGATAAGGAATCCGTATTCCTACATTCCTTGGGTTATCTTGATATATTGCCCTATACATAGATAGTTTGTTTAAGTAAAACTTTCTAAGTTTCTGTGTAATTTACTATTGTTTTGTTTCTCCAAGGTGTATTTTTTATGTCTTTCTCTGTCTTAAGTATAAATACACTTGTAACCTTAGAGAGTTTGAGAAATCCTGTGAAACAGACAAGTGGGTGATTCCCCTTGCTTTATGGAATTCTCCCTGTGATCACAGTATAGCCCTAAATAAAGAAAAGCTGGCTCTGTCAGTTCTGATTCAACCACAACGCTAAGTTTGATTTCTTCCACACTCTGTAGTTCCACATTTTTTGGTTACTTACCAGTCTTCTGTCCTTGCTTTCACTGTCAGACAATAATGCTCAAGAAACATCAATATCTCCAGAGCAACTTTAGATCTTCTTTAGATCTGCTAGTCACATGACTAACACACGTAAAAATCAACTACAAATGCAAATACATCAGTTAGCAGCTGGTGGCATATTGCTTCGGAGTGGGTGGACAGTTCGTGAACTCCAGCATTTACTGAGGAAGTGCTCCCTCTAGGGGCGCGTCCACACGAGCGCGCACCAGCATCTTGCCCTGCCTCAAACCCCTTTGAGGCGGAGCAGCAGGCACATGTTCCCCGCCCTGCAAGTTTGCAGAGCGAGGAGAAAACTAGACCCCTGTTAGGGGTTTAAAAAAATCAACGTTTAAAGAGGCGGCACGGGGGATCGCGCCCTGAGACAATCGGAGGCTGCGTCCTCCATGGAGACGCTCTGGCTACCGGACCGTCTCTATGGTTGGCCCTCGCCCTGGTGCTGAAACACTGGGCCACCCAGTCCGGGTGTGTCAGCACCAGGGCTCCGGTGCCGGTGAGTAAGGGGTTGGGGGGGCTGGAGGAGCGGGGGACCCCTACCGGGATTGGCCCCTCCCCCAGCCCCCCCCCGAACTCCCCCAAGCCCTGCCGCGGATGGCCCCTCCCCCT